GATTCCTTTGGTCTTGACCAGGCAGCTTTGCTTTTTCCGGCACGTCATCTCATTTCATGACATGTCCAAAGAGCAACTGGTCTGGTCAGTAGCATTCCTGCAAAGATCCATGTTGTAGTGAGCAATACAGTGGTGTTGTTGTTGGTGGTGGTAGTGTTCGTGTTTGCCCACTACAACATGGATCTTTGCAAGAATGCTATTATTATTATTATTATTATTATTATTATTATTATTATTATTAATATCTGACCACTACAACATGACACTTTTCAGGAATGCTATATTATTATTATTATTATTATTATTATTATTATTATTATTATTATTATCATTATTAGACTACTTCAATGTGCATCTTTGCAGGAATGCTATTATTATTGTTATTGTTATTATTATTATTAATTGCCCACTACAACATGGATCTTTGCAGGAATATTATATTATTATTATTATTATTATTATTATTATTATTATTATTATTATTATTTTACTACTGCAATGTGCATCTTTGCAGGAATGCTATTATTATTATTGTTGTTGTTGTTGTTATTAATTGCCCACTACAACATGGATCTTTGCAGAAATGCCTATTATTAATATTATTATTATTATTATTAACTGACCACTACAACATGGCTCTTTGCAGGAATACTATCTTCTTCTTCTTCTTCTTCTTCTTATTATTATATTATTATTATTATTATTATTATTATTATTATTATTATTATACTACTACAATGTGCATCTTTGCAGGAATGCTATTATTATTATTGTTGTTGTTGTTGTTGTTATTAATTGCCCACTACAACATGGATCTTTGCAGAAATGCCTATTATTAATATTATTATTATTATTATTAACTGACCACTACAACATGGCTCTTTGCAGAAATACTATATTATTATTATTATTATTATTATTATTATTATTATTATTATTAGACTCCTACAATGTGCATCTTTGCAGAAATACTATTAATAAAAACAATTATTATTATTATTATTATTATTATTATTATTTATTGCCCACTACAACATGGATCTTTGCAGGAATGCCTATTATTATTATTATTGTTGTTGTTGTTATTATTATTAATTGCCCACTACAACATGGATCTTTGCAGAAATGCCTATTATTAATATTATTATTATTATTATTAACTGACCACTACAACATGGCTCTTTGCAGAAATACTATATTATTATTATTATTATTATTATTATTATTATTATTATTAGACTCCTACAATGTGCATCTTTGCAGAAATACTATTAATAAAAACAATTATTATTATTATTATTATTATTATTATTATTTATTGCCCACTACAACATGGATCTTTGCAGGAATGCCTATTATTATTGTTGTTGTTGTTATTATTATTAATTGCCCACTACAACATGGATCTTTGCAGGAATGCTTATTATTATTATTATTATTATTATTATTATTATTATCATCATTATTAACTGACCACTACAACATGGCTCTTTGCAGGAATATTATATTATTATTATTATTATTATTATTATTATTTTACTACTACAAGGTGCATCTTTCTTCTTTGCCTCCTGCCTTCTACCATTATTTTATTTTATCTTTATAGTAAATGATATCTGGGCTCGGCCATCTCGGCTTCTCGGTGACCGAATGGCTCTCGGACGCAATTCTTGGTGTTTGTAGCAATCCGTGGCATTTGTAGAGCTTTCCTCTGGCCTTGCGTTTCGAAAGAGACTTTCCTTTTCTTCCTGTTGCTCTTCTTTGCTCTCCAGCTTTCGCAACCGAAGATAGAAATGCCCAGTTGGCTTCCCTCCCATTCGGACGCTGCAAAACACAGCCCCGTGCCCACTGTTTGTCCCCTTCCTTTGGCCCAGATGGCTTGGATTATTGCTTTTTTAAATTCTTTGCAGCAGAAATCCCACCGCACCTGCAAGATCTGGGTCAGGGGTTTTGCACCCAGCCTGTGGCAGGAGAATCACAACAACAACAACGCAAACCAACACAGGCTAGAATTCCGGTCACCATTTTGCAATAGTTTTTCAATGACGATCTCCAGTCTCAACCCATTCAGCCTTGTTTGTGGTAATCACAAAAACGAAATTTCAAACTGGAAATTACACTTTCAAACCAGGAACAAATGTTGTTACGTTGTGTTGTTGTTGTTGTTGTTATTGTTATGTTTGTATTTGGCTTCTGTCTCTTGACCTTTTTCAAAAGCTGGGACTCAACACCCTTTGAATGGAATGCAAAAGGAGCATGGCGGAGGCTTTTAAACAGAGGCTGGGTGGCCATCTGTCAGGGGGCCTTTGATTGTGCTTTTCCTGCCTAACGACAGAAGGGAGTTGGACTGGATGTTCTTTGGGGATCTCTTTCTGTGCTATGATTCTATGTGTTTGTCATGTATCTATCCATCCATCATCAATACAACTAGATGGCCCTTTGCTTCTATGTGTTTATCATCTGTCTGTCTGTCCGTCCATCTGTCTGTCCATCCATCCATCAGTCTATCCAGCTATCTATCCACCCACCCAGATCATGATATGAATAAACATAACAGTTTAAATAATGCACCAGTAAGGCCTTCTCTCAGACCACCATGAGAATTTCGGGGGGGGGGGGGCTGAAGCCCCTCAAGCCCCCCCCCCCCCCCGCTACATGCCAGCACCCACCCATCCAACTATCCAGCTATCTATCTCTCCATTTTTCTGTCCATCCATCCATCAATCCACCCATCAATTTATCCTATCTATCTATCTATCTATCTATCTATCTATCTATCTATCTATCTATCCATCCATCCATCCATCCATCCATCCATCCTTCTATCTATCTATCTATCTATCTCTATCTATCTATCTATCTATCTATCTATCTATCTATCCTATCTATCTATCTATCTATCTATCTATCTATCTATCTATCTATCTATCTATCTATACATCTATACATCTATCTATACATCTATCCATCCATCTACACATCCATCCATCCATCCAGCTATCCAGCTATCTATCTCTCCATTTATCTGTCCATCCATCCATCTATCCATCCATCCATTCATTCATCCATCCCTCCACCCACCCATTCAGCTATCCATCCACCCATCTATCCATCCATCTACACATTCAGCTATCCATCCATCTATCTATCTATCTATCTATCTATCTATCTATCTATCTATCTATCTATCTATCTATCTCTCTCTACATCTATCCATCCATCCTTCCATCTATCTGTCTATCTGTCTGTCCGTCCATCCGTCCGTCCATCTACCCATTCAGCTATCCAGCTGTCTATCTCTCCATCCAATCCATCCATCCATTCATCCATCCATCCATCTACCCATTCAGCTATCCATCTGTCGATCTATCTATCTATCCATCCAGCCAGCCAGCCAGCTGTCTGTCTGTCTATCCATCTATTTATCTCTCCAATTATCTGTCCATTCATCAATCCAGCCTTCTATCTATCTGTCTCTCTATCTACCTATCCATCAATCCAGCTATGTATTTATCAAGCTCTCTATCTTTACATCACATCCATCTATCTATCTATCTATCTTCATCTATCTATCTATCTATCTATCCTACTCCAGCTATCTATCCAGCCATCTATCTATCTATCTATCTATCTATCTATCTATCTATCTATCTATCTATCTATCTATCTTTCTTTCCATCCATCCATCCATCCATCCATCCATCCATCCATCCATCCATCTATGCAGCTATCCAGCTAGTATCTATCTCTCCATTTATCTGTCCATCCATCCATCTATCCTTCCATTCATTCATTCATTCATCCATCCCTCCACCCACCCACCCATTCAGCTATCCATCCATCCATCTATCTACCCATTCAGCTATCCATCCATCTATCCATCCATCCATCCATCTACCCATTCAGCTATCCATCCATCCAACTGTCTGTCTATCCATCTATTTATCTCTCCAATTATCCATCCATCTATCCAGCCTTCTATCTACCTATCTGTCTGTCTGTCTATCTACCTATCCATCAATCCAGCTGTGTATTTATCAAGCTCTCTATCTTTTCATCCATCCAACCATCCATCCATCTATCTGTCTGTCTATCATCTATCCATCCATCTGTCCGTCCATCTATACATACATCCAGCTATCTATCCAGCCAGCCAACTATCTATCTATTTATCTATCTATCCATCCATCCTTCCATCCATCCATCCATCCAGTGATCTATCTTTCCATCCAGCTATCTATCTGTCTGCCCGTCAGTCAGTCTGCCTTTCCAACTGGATGTCTCTTATGTTTCTATGTGTTTATCTTCTCTCTGCCTCTGTTTCTGTCTCTCTCTTTCTTTGGGGTTGGTCCAGATGGCCCTTGGGGGTCTCTCCCAACTCTATAATTCTACCATTCCATGAGATGCAAACCCATCCAGATAAAAAACACCCGCTGTGGTTGCACGAGGGATCCCTCTCGCAAGCTTCGACTTCTCTATCTTCTTCTTTTGAAGTTCCTTTATCTTCCTTTAAAAACAGACAAGTTTGTAGGTTTGTCCAAGACTCCCAAGCCCTGGGTTTCGCAACCGAACTTCTCTCGTGAAGCAAATCTCTGCGGAATTTAGGGCTGGGATTTGGGTTGGAAGGACGCCGGCCCTCCGAGGCGGGCTTTGCTGGCCACCCTCCCCTCCGGTCATTTAAGTCCAGCAGTTGCCTTCTGAAGCCGGGAAGGAAAGGAGGAAGGAAAGAATCGTCCGAACGGAGGGAGGTTGCGCTCAGAGTAAGCACAAAGCGGGCAGAGTCCAGCAAGGAAATCCTTTCCTTCTTGACCCCCCCAAAAGGTAAACGTCCTCAAACATTTCTTCTCCTGTGAGCAACTCCTTCTCGCTTCCTTTGCTCCATCCATTCGATGCAGCTTGGACTCGACGCAGCCTCTTCGCCAACGGGAATAGTGCAAAATATTTTGGGTTTTGCAAAGGAAAGGGAGTGCGCGCAGCAATGCCCTTTTTTCTTCTTTCAGGACGCCCCGTCTGGCCAAGGAAGGAGAGGAGAGGCCAAGGAACCCGGAGGAGGGATGCGCAGGACGTAGTTCCAGCAGCCACAGCAGAGGAGGAGCGTAAGTCCACACCTTTTACAAAATGGGGATGGTTTCCTAGAGTGGGAAGGGACCCCCAAGGGCCATCCAGTCCAACCCCTGAGAGAGAGAGAGAAGAGAGAGAGGTGGTTAAATCATAACATCCTAGAGTTGAAAAATACTCGTAGCTTCGTAGAACCATCCAGCTGAATGCATGGCTGGGTGGGAGGATGGAGGGATCGATCAATCAATAGATGGATGGATACATAAAAAGAAAAATGGGTAGGTGAGTGGGTAGACAGACAGACAGATGGGAAGATAGATAGATAGATAGATAGATAGATAGATAGATAGATAGACAGACAGACAGACAGACAGACAGACAGACAGACAGACAGACAGACAGGAACATGGATGGATGGAGAAAGAGAGATAGAAACATGGATGGACAGACAGACAGACAGGAACATGGATGGATGGAGAAAGAGAGAGAGATAGAAACATGGATGGATGGACAGACGGATAGACAGACTGACAGACAGGAACATGGATGGATGGATACATAGAGAAATAGAAACATGGATGGATAGAGAGATAGAGAGAGAGATAGAAAAATGGATGGCTGGACGGACGGACAGATAGACAGACAGACAGGAACATGGATGGATGGATGGATGGATGGATGGATGGATGGATGGATGGATGGATGGATACATAGATAAATAGAGAGAGAAACATGGGTGGGTGGGTGGAGGGATTGCTGATACACTTATAGAATGATAGATTCATCTAGATAGATGATGATGAAGAGACATAGATGGATGGGTGGGTGGATCGAGAGAGAGATAGGAAAATGGATAGAGGGAGAGAGAGAGACAGACAGACAGACAGACAGACAGGAAAATGAATGGGTGGATGAATGGAGAAATAGATAGATAGATAGATGATAAACTCATAGAATCATCCATCTAGTTGGATGGATGGATGGATGGATGGATGGATGGATGGATGGATGGATGGATGGATGGATGGATGGAGAGATGGGTGGATGGCTAGAGGGAGAGATGGGATGGATGGATGGATGGCTAGAGTGAGAGATTGATGGATGGATGGACAGATGGGTGGATGGATAGATAGATAGATAGATGATAAATTCATAGAGCCATAGATCCATCTAGTTGGATCGATAATGGATGGATGGATGGATGGATGGAGAGAGAGAGATGGATGGATGGATGGATGGATGGATGGATAGGTTTGATGGATGGATGGATGGCTAGAGGGAGGGATGGATGGATGGACGGATGGGTGGATTGATAGATAGATGATAAACTCATAGAGCCATAGATCCATCTAGTTGGATCGATAATGGATGGATGGATGGATGGATGGATGGATGGATGGAGAGAGAGAGATGGATGGATGGATGGATGGATGGATGGATGGATGGATGGATGGATGGGGAGATAGATGGATGGATGGACGGATGGGTGGATGGATAGATAGATAGATAGATGATAAACTCATAGAGCCATAGATCCATCTAGTTGGATTGATAATGGATGGATGGATGGATGGATGGATGGATGGATGGATGAGAGAGATAGATGGATGGATGGATGGATGGATGGATGGATGGATGGATGGATGGATGGATGGATGGATGGATAGGATGGATGGATGGATGGATGGATGGATGGATGGAGGAGATAGATGGATGGATGGACGGATGGGTGGATGGATAGATAGATGGATGATAATCTCATAGAGCCATAGATCCATCTAGTTGGATTGATAATGGATGGATGGATGGAGAGAGAGAGAGAGATGGATGGATGGATGGATGGATGGATGGATGGATGGATGGATGGCTAGAGAGAGGGAGGGATGGATGGATGGATGGATGGATGGATGGATGGATGGGGAGATAGATGGATGGATGGACGGATGGGTGGATGGATAGATAGATAGATAGATGATAAACTCATAGAGCCATAGATCCATCTAGTTGGATTGATAATGAATGGATGGATGGATGGATGGATGGATGGATGGATGGATGGATGGATGGCTAGAGGGAGAGATGGATGGATGGATGGATGGATGGATGGGGAGATAGGTGGATGGATGGACGGACGTAGAAGTCTTGCCCAGTGTGTTTCTCCCTGCTGGAGCCCCGTTTTGTGGGTGTGGGTGCTCACCTACCTGCCTTCCTTCCTCCTGCAGGGCCCTTCCTCTTCCCCTTCCTCTTCCTGTGAGGGGCGTTGCCATGGACGCCCGGCCGCTCTTCCAGACGCTGCACGCGCTGGTGGAGGACAACGCGGCCTTCTTCCGGGAGAGCTCCTCGGAGGTGGGCCAGCGCTTCCTGGCGGCCTTCCTGGCCATCCGCGAGCACGCCCGCTGCCTGGAGCCCGTCCTGGGCCACTTGGCCACCATCTACCACCTCTTCGACCTGGACGAGGAGACGCCGGCCAACGGGTACCGCAGCCTGGCCCAGACGGTGCGCTGCTGCCTGGCCCACATCGTCCACAAGAGCCGCTACGTGGCCGCCAACCGGCGCAGCCTCTTCTTCCGCACCGGGCACAACTGCGCCGAGCTGGAGGCCTACTGCGTGGCCCTGACCCAGCTGCGCGCACTGGTCTACCTGGCCCAGCGCCTCCTCACCCAGAACCGCCCCGGGAGCCTCTTCAACCACGAGGAGCGCGGGCTCTCCCAGCTCTTCCTGCGCGAGTACACCGCCATGCAGAAGGGGTGCTTCTACGGGAGGTGCATGGGATTCCAGGTCAGGGGTCTCCCGCCTTGCGCGCATCTATGCCATTCCTTCACCCCTTGCCTTTCCCTCCCC